TTCTCTCAGTCCTCTTTATTTTCCCACCATGGATCATAATGATCGATGGTGGTACATTCGGAGGTTCTCTCTGGCTGCACACTATGCTCCCTAATGTACGCCATTATGGCTTCTAGTTGCGCCTGCGCCTGCATTGCTTCTCGCTCGCCGTTCTCCTGTTGCTCGCTCGTGTCGCTGCTGTCGGCGTCCGACCTTAAGGCGCGTCTCTGCAACTCCTGGATCTCCTGTAACAATTCGATTTGCTCCCTATTCGCCGTCGGTCGCATTGCGTTTAATGTAGAACGGCCTTTGAGTTCCACTTTTGTGGAAATACGGCTAAAACCAGTGGCTGAAACCGTCGTAAAAAATTACATTAGGATGGCCGCTCTCAGGTTTTTCTCTGCTTATCATAAGTGATGATCTCTCAACTGTTGAGTTGTCTGAACGCACTCATAGGCTGCTTTCCTTTTAGGGGACACAGTCGACACAAGTCGACACAAGTTTCATTCTGTCTTTGTTTCTCACTGAATATTGAACGAAGACAGAATGACTTTTGTGTCGACTTGTGTCGACTGTGTCTCTTAAAAGGAAAGCAGCCATAGTCAAAGTCCTATATATAAAGAAAGGCTGCGTTCCGAGTTACGCATTTATCTATAGTACACGTCACGTATAATATAAATAAATGCGCGCATATGCATAACTCGGAACGCAGCCACTGAACTCTATATACACTGGAATGCGCATCTCCATCAGTGATGCTAGATTCGCCCCGCACTCGCGCATGCGCGTTGATTTACAGCTGAGCGCGCAGTACCGTAGCTATAGGTAACGATGTATGTTTGCGCGCCAAAACCATGCGTAACCGTAACGTTAACCGGGACCGGCTGTGAGCAGACATATGAAGAGTCTGAAGAGGAAAATAAGGAAATAAGGTAAGGTAAATAAGGTAAACGATAAGTAATTAGATAATAAAGTAACAATGGAGTCTGGAAGAGGAGCTGTAAAAAAGGCATATATTAGAAAATTTAGAAGATCGTGGTTAGATAAAAATATTTTCAAAAATTGGTTAACGTCATCCGAGAATGATAATAAAGCTTTTTGTACAGTTTGCAATATTTCGCTAAAATGTTGTCGATATAATTTATTAAGGCATGCCGAATCAGCTTCTCATATAGACAATGTAAATAGTAGTAATGTAGAAATTAATATTTCAAATAAAGAGACTGNTTACACGGTTCTTTTCCTTCGCTTTCGCTACTCTCGGCTGTCCTGCGACGACTTCCTCTTCCTTGCGTCGGGCCTGGCCTTTTATCCTTAGGCTTCCCCACTCCAGCCATTTTCTCGTTCTTTCGAGTGTTTGCCCGTACTAGAACCTTCTGGACTTNCCCGGAGATCTTTGTTGTTGTTTTTTTTTCGTATTTCGTTCGCCTTCCAGAATTTTCGGGCAGGTTCTTGTTTTGTCGTGGTGCCGATAATAATAATAATCACCGAATTTATGTGATGGTGTGGAGNTTTCGCGAAGCGTCTAGTGATTGTAATTCCTATCACTACTCCTTACATAATAGTAATGATAATCATGATAACAAGAATAATCATAATAATAATAATAATCATAATAATAATCATCATAATTATAATAATAGTAATGATGATGATGGTAACAATACTAATAATAATAATAATAACACTAACACTCATAATAATAATAATAACAATAATAATAATAATAATAATAATGTTAATAACACTCGTGACCATATTTAAACGACCTACTCTCTTAATTACCTACCAACAAACCTCGTTACGTGTATACTCATAATAACGTTTGTTATGCGCATATTTTTATTTATTGAAAAATAAACAATATTTATTATAACAAAANTACTAATAATATCCATAAAGTCCATCACCTAAATTTCTTTATCCCACCACCATATTTATTTATTTATTATTTTTTGTCCTTTGTTTTCTTTCTCTCAGTCCTCTTTATTTTCCCACCATGGATCATAATGATCGATGGTGGTACATTCGGAGGTTCCCTCTGGCTGCACACTATGCTNCCTAATGTACGCCATTATGGCTTCTAGTTGCGCCTGCGCCTNCATTGCCTCTCGCTCGCCGNTCTCCTGTTGCTCGCTCGTGTCGCTGCTGTCGGCGTCCGACCTTAAGGCGCGTCTCTGCAACTCCTGGATCTCCTGTAATAATTCGATCTGCTCCCTATTCGCCGTCGGTCGCACTGCGACTTGTGTCTACGTCTTATGTAGAATCAATCGATTATTCTTCTGTACTTTGTCTGTGATTTGTCAATTTCTTACTGTTACGGCCTACAACTCTCCATTGTAGACGGCTTTTTAAGCTGCCTTTATGGGTAGTCTACAATAAAGGTAGTAAGGCTGTAGGAGTAGAGAGTAAACTATTTTTCGGTGAAGAAACAACGGGAATTACGAAATGAGCAATTCCCATTTTGCACTACCTACTGCTTTACTGTTAGCCAATAAAAGACGTGTGTTAAAAAACGCAAAATAATTACTTGTATAGACAAAAATAAAAGAACACTAAGAACCTTACTTCTTGCTCTATACTGCCTACTCCCATTGTAGACTAGCCATTACATGCGGCGTAAATAGCGTAAGCGTAATTTGCGGTAGCCAATTATATTGTCTCAGCTATCATGCAAATACGCTGAGACGATATAATTGGCTACCGCAAGTTACACTTACGCTATTTACACCGCATGTAAAGGCAGTCAATCTACAATGAAAGTAGTAAGGGCCTTCTACAATGAGATATTAGTAATAAATCAGAAGTCAAAAGCAAGAAATTGACCAATCACAATCGATTATTCTTTTGTGATTTGACTGTGATTGGTCAATTTCTTGCTTCTGATTTCTGATTTATTACTAAAGAACCTTCTACAATATTAGTAATAAATCAGAAGTCAGAAGCAAGAAATCGACCAATCACAGTCAAANCACAGAAAAATAATCNATTGTGTTTAGTCAATTTCTTACTTCTGACTTCTGATTTATTACTAATATCTTATTGTAGAAGACCCTTTCGGCGAAGAGAAACATAAGACATAAGAAAATCAACCAATCAAAGCCTTCTAGAACGAAAAGTAAGGATGAAAATGGAAGGCTGGATTGGTTGATTTTCTTATGTCTTATGCGTTATGCGTTATGCAAAAGTCTGTGCTTCGGTCTTAATACACTTCAACCAATATATATAAAACACATATACACTGAAACTTCATTTATTTTCCCTCTCACTTATCTTCTCACTCGGTTATCTTCCCATAAAATCTCTCAGTTATATTCCCACTTAGTTTTTCTTCTCTATCTCCCACTCTTACTTCTCTCTCATTCTCCCTTCTCGCACTTAGCAGAGCAAACGGCATGATTTGCAGCAGCCAATCACACTGCAATCGTAATGGAAAACCACCTTTACTCTGCAGCAGTGGTGGGATCCCCTCTGAAAGGAAAATAAATGAAGTGCTCATGTTTCATGAGTGGGAAAATAAATGAAGTTTCAGTGTAGCATTTTACTTTGTTTCAGCGCGCCATATTAATTTTCGGCGGCGGCGGCGGCGGCGGATTCGCCGAAAATTTTCTCTTTCGGCGGCGGCGGAATCGGCGGATGATAATTTGTCGGCAGCGGCGGCGTAACACGGCGGCGCAAGGGTCTACTTTGAGCCATATATGCACCAAACCAAACCAAGCACCCATAGTTAGAAATAAAAGTAAGAAGTTGTGATTCTCTGGCTATATCATGTTCAGCAATTTATCATCAGAAGAATGCCATATAATCAAAGAAGAAGAGGAAGAAGAATCGTCAGAAGAAACCTCGACGACAGAACGCATAGAACATACTGGCGACAAAATGTAACACTTGATAACAAACGATATTATTATTACAGTGGAACCTCGTTTAATCGAACTGATCGGAGGACTAGATAGTTTGGATAACCGAAACCCAACTTCTATTATACGAACTATCGGTTCAGATAACAGAGGTTCGGATAAATGAGGTTCCACTGTATTTATTTTTTTGTCTTATCTCTTTTTTATGTCAAAAAAGTCGTTATACGTATAACAAGAGATATAAATGCTTTTACACATAAAGTTGCATGTTTATTATGTTATTGAAGCATTATTGGTTCAACTTTATGTAAAAGCATTTATAGTTTTACTATGATGTTTTAATATTATTGTAATAATTATGTATATTCTTTCTATATAAAATCGTAATAAAAGCATCATTATATACAATTCTTTCTTCAGATGTCATTGCTTCTATTAATCTTGATAACATTTAATTGTTAATAGGCAAGTGCACAAACTTGAGAGTAATAATATTAATATCCTGAAGTTCTGTCCATTATTTAATTTGCTGTCCAAGGAGTTTGTTTCAAAATTATATATGGTTCAGATATGTGGTAATTTCGACTTTTTAGTTTTTTTTTTGTCATTTTTAAGAATATTGTTATTTACAGTTTTGCATTTATAATAGGTGAAACTTTGGATGGAATTTTGCTCATGACAACAGATCTAATGATGTATGGATTAGGTAATAATCGCGGTGGTCAGTTAGGAATAGGGCATATGAGTGTAACACTACAGCCTGTACTAATTGGAATTTTAAGTGGAAAGAAAATTAAAAAGTTGATTTATTTGAACACTCCTGCTGTTTTTGCCCTTACTGAAGAAGGACAGGTAGGCACACATCTTATGTTTTTACAATTTTTTAACTTTATGTACATACATTATTATGGAAACCTAAAGAACCATCTATAATGGGAGTAGGCAGTATAGAGTAAGAAGTAAGGTTCTTAATTCATTTCTGTCTATACAAGTAATTACTTCGCGTTTTTTAACACACATCTTTCATTGGCTAACAGTAAGGCACTAGGCAGTGCAAAATGGGAATTGCCCATTATTCCCGTCGTTTCTTTATTAAAAAATAGTTTACTCCTACAGCTTTACTACCTTTATTGTAGACTAGCCATAATGTTATTTCACACAACAGCATAGAAATCTACTATGCTATTTTTTTCTTATTTGTTTTTACAGTTTTATACAAAATTGTATACAGAGCATAACTTTTTGATATTTATTATTGATATTATTTGTTATGTTGAAATTGTTTGGATTATATTTTGTTTTAGTAAATAACATGAGGGAAGCTTTACAAAGATTTTATAATATTTTATTTATAATATATAACATATAAATTAAAACCTTTTATTCTGATGAATTTTACATATACTACTTTTTAGATAAATGCTACTATATAACTACTACTAAAAAAAGTGTGAGCAAAAAACTTGCTAATTTTGATTGATCTATTTTAAGTACCCAGATAGCCAACTGAGTGCAAGTTGTTGGCAACTTGCCACAAATATTGCTCATATGTTTTCAGCAATGTAACAAAAGGGTGTATCCTCTTTTCGGTATGCTGTTCTTGCCAGCAACAGTTTACAAGATATAATAACAGCAAGTTCCCAACAACTCATTGGCAATACACTTCTATTATTTTTCTCAACCTATGAATAACAATTATTGTTCACATATTGCTCACATATTGCTGACTCACATGTCATAAACATTGGCTACAACAATTGATTGATAATAAAACTCAGCATATTGATACTGAATTGACAAAAACATTTTCATTGCATTAAATAAAAACAACACAACAGCAATTGGCGAGCAACTTAATCTATACAATGATTTGCTTTATATTGAGTTTTCACATTTGGCTATCTGAGTAGTAGTTACATTATAAGAGATGTTTTGTTTTATTTGTTTTATCCTGCACATTCTTAAATTTTTCTTAAGTAGCTAAGAAAGTTTATATAGTTTATTTCAGTTTCCTCTATCTGATGATTCTATTTCTCTAAATTTCTAAGATTATTGTAGAAAAAATAATACAAATATAAGATTCTTTCATTTTTCTGACTTCCGTGTTTAAAGCCATAGTTTACTTTAAATGTTTTATATGACTTTTTTAAATGAAACATAGTGTTTCTTACTTCTCATCACCAAACTTCAGGGTGAAGACAAAAGTTATAAAAAGTATCAAATATAAACTTCAAGACAACCAATATGAATTAATTAAAAACTTAACGTTTGTTTTTCGTCATATATGTACTTATAAATTTGTATTTTTGAAAGGTATATTCATGGGGAAACAATGATTGCAACATCTTAGGTCTTGCAATTAATTCTTTTGATAAACAAACATATTCCAAATTTGTACTTGTACCCAGTCTTATAACTAGTTTAAGAAAGGAGCGCATTGTAGATATTGCAGCCTGTGAATATCATGCTGTTGGACTTGCTGAAAGTGGAAAAGTAAATATATGACAGAGATATAATCTTAATTTAAAATTAGTAATTTTATAAATAAACAAATGTTTTTAAGTAAACGATGAATTTAGGTATATATGTGGGGAAAGTTATGCTACTATGAACATCAAACAGAGAACTATTCTAAGTTTGGAACTTTAGACTATAACTATCAGACAGAGAACTATTCAAATTTTGGAACTTTAGACTATATAAATGTAGAAGTACCACTGGTAGTTTGGCCTGACACGTCTAAACAGATCAAGTATATCTGTTGTGGCAACGAGTTTACTATTGCTGTGACAGAGGAAGGTGTATATGGTGTGGGTAAAAATTCTGAATATCAGCTAGGAGTAAATGGCGCTTCGTTCTTGGTTGACACCTCATTAAGATTTAAACTAATCTTTCCCAATGACAAAATAAGTAGGTTGTTTTTACATATCTGTAATTATGAAAGTAATAATATTTTTAATCAAGATAATACAGTGGGATCTCGTTTATCCAAACCACTTTTATTCGGAACGACATGAAGCCAGACTCCGGCCTTTTGGTGCGCTAGCATGAAGAAGATACGCACACAGCTTCATATCGTGTACATGTGCGGCACACGGTGAAGCTATGTGCGTATTCTCTCCATGCTATCGTATGCTACCGAAAGGAGTCTGGTATTACTGCTTGAGGCCCAATCTTTATTATACGAACCGATAGTTTAAAAGTTATAATAAAAGTTGGGTCTCGGTTATCCGAACTATTTTGTACCTCGATTGGTTTGAATAAACAAGGTTTTACTGTATACAAAAAATATTGATATAAGCAATTCACAATGATGTAGTTAAAGTAGCATGTGGTTCGAGTCACGTAATGGCACTCGATGACGAAGGACATCTATATGTTTGGGGTAGTAATGAATATGGACAATTAGGAAAAGACAAGTCTACAGCTAAGGTATTACATGGCATATAGATTATTTATTGCATTTGTTTGGAGACAAGAAAAAAAAATTTTAAAACTGTTCACATAGTCACTACGTAAAATGTTAAATGAGCCTGAAATGGGAAAGATAATAAATATTGCTGCTCTGTCACACAAAAACATAAGCGTCGCTCTCAACGATAAAGGACGTGTTTATGTATGGGGTTTTTATCTCTCTCAAGTTTTGGATGCTCCGATGGAAATAAACGTTTCTGATATGTACAAAGTTTTTGGATGTAACTTGCCGTATATTATCTGCGCATCACCATTGAAGCACTCAGATAATTTTGAAGACACAGATAAAATGTCGGAGATCTTTCAAAACATAGAAACTATGTTTGATGATTATGTACGTATTTCATTCTTTGTCTTATATTTGTATAGTCTAGCAGTCGCCAAGACTATCGATATGTATTGTAAAACACACTGAAAGATTATAATGTTGAAACTAGAAAAAAATTGTGAGCTTGGTATACATATTACATATTTTATTACTTTAAAAGTGGTGTGTTTATATATATATTTTCACGCACTTTAAATCTAAATATCTTTAAATATACGCGAAATTTAAACGGTCATAGGAGCCTTACGCTGGATGTTTGTAGCGGAATAAATATTTTCAAAAAAAGGTAAAAAAGGCGCCAAGTACACACGCATTATATTGTATTTAATACTTAAATTAAAACTCTTATTTCTAAAACAAAACCTGCTCTACAAAAGAAGTGATATCAAAAAGTAACATCAAGTAAACTTTTGTTTTGTTTACTTGAAAAACAATATATTATATACTACAAAAAATTCTCTCTTTAAAAAAACCTGTTTTACAAAAGAAGTGATATCAAAAGGTAGCACCAAATAAACTTTTGTTCGTTATTATATAAAAGAATAAAAAAATAAGAAATATTTAATGCAAAAAAACTTGACGCGGCTGCACCTCAAATAGTGAACTAAACTGTGTTTATCAGACACATGCGCGCGCGTAAGTCTGACATAATAAGTACTCAATACTATTTTATTTAATTAAACATACAAGTTTTTGTTTTAAAGCATTACTTTTATACAAAGTATTAATTTGTTTTCTAATACTGATGTAAGTGTGAAAAATAACTGAGAAGTAGTTTTACTTTATATCTTTTATATAATTGTGCTTATAATAATTGATAATACATTGTGTGACGTGACGGTAGGCGTTACAGGAGGAGCGTCGCCTTTATTTCCTTTGTTTCTTCTCGTGGTGTTCTGCGGTCCTCATTAGTGCGGCTGCGCACACGCTAACGTTCTTACTCTATTAGTTCTTACGTGTCCCGCTTCGCGTCAGTACAATACAGAATACAAGTGTACATACTTAACACGCCTCCTTACATTTGTATTCTTACAGTTAACTTTCCTACCAGTTACTCTACAATTTGTAGCATTTCCCTGAACTTAGTAAGCTTTTGTCTATCTAACGCTTTGGTTAAAATGTCCGCTATATTTTTTTCTGTCTCTATCTTTACAATATCGATAGTCTTATTTAAATAACTTTCATTAACATAATGATATTGTACCTCAATATGTTTCGAATTTTTAGTGAAGTTGCCATTCTTTGCTATGATTAAAGCCCCTGAATTATCCTCATAAATTTTAGTCGGTACTCTTAAACTCATATTAAACGACCTGAGTATTCCTCGGATTACATTTATTTCAGACACCGCTTCTGACAACGCTACGTACTCTGCTGAAGTTGAGGATTTTGTTACTGTATTTTGTTTTCTTGATTTCCAAAATATAACATTTCCAAACATTCGGATGATAAATCCCGTTGTGGACTTTCTATCTACGACATCTCCAGCCCAGTCCGCATCAACAAAACAATCCAGAACTTCTGCATTGAGATTCTTACTGTACTTTAGTTTTAAATTTCTTGTCAAATACAAATATTTTAGTACTCTAATCGCGTATTTAAAATGTGTCTCATTATAGCAATTCTGAAATCTACTTAAGTAGTTTACGCTAAAAGCAATGTCTGGTCTTGTTCCTGAAGCAATATAAAGAAGTGCTCCGATTAAGTTTCGATACATAACACTAGTACTTATTTCGTTTGCAGGCTCTAATTTTAATTTTGTTTCCATCGGTGTAGCATATAATTTTGATTGTTCAATTTTATATTTCATAGCTAACGATTTTACATAATTTTCTTGACTTAAAGTTATTTCATTCGTACCTAAATAATTATACTCAATGTTTATACCTACATAGTTCTTAACCTTACCTAAATCTTTCATTTTAAATTTTTTAGATAACTTTTCTTTAAACTCAGAAATTTTCCTTTTATCTTTACAACATATTAATAAATCATCGACAAAAAGTAGAATAAAAACTAACTCACTTTTCTCAACTTTCAAATAAAGACAATAATCGTAATCGCACCTACAAAAACCTAACTCTCTTATATACTTATCAAAGCAATCATACCACGCACGTGGACTTTCCTTTAAACCATACAAAGCCTTATGTAANTTATAGACCTTATTANTTTCTTTACTAAAACCTACTGGTTGCTTGACATAAACTTCGGAAACTACTTTACCGTTTAAAAATGCTGTCTCTACGTCCATTTGTTCTACTTCTAAACTTTCTTGACAACAATATGACAATAACACTTTTAGTGTTTGCATTTTGAATACCGGTGAGTATGTATTCTCTACCTCTTCTTTTTGTTGAAAGCCTCTTACAACAAGTCTCGCTTTGAAAATATCCTCAGATTTTTTTGTGTAGACCCATTTTACNTCCAAAACTTCTTTATCCGGTTGGTTTACCAGCTTCCATGTTTTATTTTCGTTTAAACTATTCATTTCTCTCTTCATTGCTGCATGCCAATGTTCTGCTTCATTACTTGACATCGCCTCCTCAAATGTATTTGGCACACTTACACTACAATAGTTAGCATAAGCATATTCTTCGGGGTATCTAACAGGAGGTTTTGAAATTCTCGAAGTTCTTCTTTGCGTTGATCTCTTATCTTCATTTCCATTTCTGTCATCTTTAGTCTTCTCGGTGTTGTCTGTATCTTCTTCATCTTCACTGCTTATTTCTTCTGATTGATTTTCTAGATCAGTTTCACCCTTTTCATTGTTTTCTTCATTATCTTTAAAGCCAACACATTTTACATCATCTTCTATGATATCCACATGTCTAGCTACAATTACTTTGTTGTTTATTAAGACCCTGTAGCCGACTTCAGCATATCCAAGTAGAACTCCTAATTCTGCTTTTTTATCCCACTTTGATTTCCTCTTTTCTTCTGGTATACGTACGAATACTTGGCTTCCGTACAATCGCAAGTTTCTTGCACATGGTTTCTTCCTAAAAAATATTTCAAACGGAGTCTTTCTTTCTTTCGTGTTTGCCAATGTTCTGTTTTTGAGATACGCGGCTGCCATTATGCATTCGGGCCAAAAACTTCTGTTGACTTTCGCTTCAGCTAGCAAACATCTAGCCATGTCNATAATTGATCTGTTAAATCGTTCAGCTGTACCATTCAGTTCATGAACATATGGAGGACATGCGTTTATTTGAATGCCTTTCTCTCTAGCGAGTTTATATATCCTTGAATTTAAGTACTCTTTGCCATTGTCGCATCTTAATCTTCTTATCTTCTTACCAGCTAGATTTTCTATCTCATTAATATATTCGACAAAACAATCATACACTTGATCTTTTGTTTTAATACAGTATACTTTTGATAATTTACTGTAATCGTCAATAAATGATATAAAATATTTCTCACCTCTGTAACCGGCAGTTTTATGGGGTCCATTGAGATCAGTATGAACTATTTCTAATATTTCTTCGGCCCTAGTTCTATTATTCCTGAACGGTAAGTTGTGCATCTTATTTTCGATACAGATTGCGCATTTAAGGTATTCGGCTCCTAGTTCCTTTGGTACACCATCCAGTAGACCATTCTTACATATTGTGTCCAGGTAATTAAAATTTATATGACCAAGCGTGCGATGCCATTTTTCCTTTTGAGTTAGTCCTTGTTCACCATGTCCTGTCGTTAGATT